GACAGATAGATAGATAGATAGATAGATAGATAGATAGATAGAGTGTGTGTATGTGTGTGTATGTGTGTGTGTGTGTGTGTGTGTGTGTGTGTGTGTGTGTGAGAGAGAGCTATTTCGGATAAATTTGTGTCTGCATCTGCATTTCACATTTCCCTTTATTGTTTAAGTAAAAAATCTACGTATAGCTTTTGTAAATTTGTCAGCGTGAGTATGTGTGCATGTGAAACGTATTCCGTGAGTAAACGTATTCCGTGAGTTTATTGCGAGTCTTGCATTCATATCGAGATAATAGCATCTATATAGCACAAATCAATGTGCAAGATATGAAGTGTTCGGTGGAGGTGGCGGTGGTCTTGGAGATGATTGTGGATTCTCTCTCTCTCTCTCTCTCTCTCTCTCTCTCTCTCTCTCTCTCTCTCTCTCTCTCTCTCTCTCTCTTTCTCTCTCTCTCTCATTTTCTCTCCCCCGCTCTCTCCCTTTCTCTTGCTCTCTCTCAGTCTCAAACACACATATATACACACACCCACATCACATACAAACACATGCACACACATACACAAACACACAAACACACACACACACATACACACACACACACACACACACTCACACAACACACATGCACAATCTCTTCTTCTATCACTCTATCAACCTCTCTTTTTCACTCTTAACACACCTCCCCCCTCCCTCCATGCAAACACGTTCATCCCAAAAATATTTATACACACACTTCCTTAAAGAAACAAACTAAAGAATCGACACTTTTATTCAGCATTTTGCTTATTGATAGAAGTAATGTTTGTTTAGTATAGGGTTTTACGGCGCCCGCAACTGCAGAAGGTCATATGAGCGCGCGGGATACACCTAATACTTTTTCGTCGGTAGGAAATTTTGAATTTTGCCCGGGTGGCGGCCGAAGCCTACTCTTATCAATTTTAGACCACCAAGGGATCTTTAACGTGCGCAACTTGCACACGGGCCCTCCAAGAATTTTCGCCCTTGTCCGAGAAGGCTAGGTGTAGATCTTTCCTACCAGAAGATCAGGGGTGTGGTAGAAAGACAGCTGTAAGAAGGAGTCAAGGAGTAACAGTACAAAGGCTGCAGAAAGAGTCAGGAGCCCAGAGGAGGGGGCAAGGGAGGTGAGGGGGTGGGGGCAGAAAGAGGAGACGACAACAGACGACAGAATGTTGCTAGAGAGCAGGAAAGGA